TGGTGGTGGTGGGGGGGATGGGGAGGCAATTGAAAGGCCTCTCTGGAAACACCGTGTCCCAGGGGGACAGGAGATCAGGCAGGTGAGTCCTGCCCAGTGACAAACTTCAGACAGAGCACTAGCACATCAGAATTACTGTGAAACTTTAAAAGGGGTGCCTGTGCCAAACCCTAGGCCCCCTGATTGGAGTCTCCAGGGGAGGAGCCTGGGCATCTGTGTGTTTAAAAGGCTCTGCAGGAGGTTCTGACTTGCTTTCGTTGGGGCTGGGAACCACACAGCTTTGGACTTTGGAAGGAAGGGCATATCTGCGTCTTTCCTCCTAGGAGCAGAGAGTACACAACAAAAGTACTGTTTCCATATATAAAACCCTGCAGGAGCCTATGAGGCAAGATAGCTCTCCTGGGATTGCCCATTAACAAAGAAAAAATGAGATGTTCTTCTGGCCTGACACAAACACCATGTGGAGCCAGCCCCACAGGCTCCAGTGTACAGGGACTGTCACCCAGGGGAAAGTGGCTTGTGAACCATCCCTGGGAGACCTCCCAGTAGCACGGGGGGAGGATGCTTTGCAAAAGCAGTGTGAGATGGAACTGGGAACAAGGTCACATCAGTNTCTTTACCATTTTTAAGCGTCCAGTTTAGTGTTATTGAATAAATTCACATTGTTGTGCAACCATCACCACCATCCGTCTCCAGAACCCTTTTAATATTGCAAAAGGGAAACACTGTACTCATTAAACAAAAACCCCCCATTCTCTCCTCCTCCTAGCACCTGGCAGCCACCTTTCTACTTTGTCTCTATGCATTTGACTAATCTGAGTACCTTATATAAGTGGAATCAGAAAATATTTGTCCTCCTGTGTTTGGCTTATTTCACTTCACAAGTGAACGTGAATAATGTCCTGAAGCTCCTTCCATGTTGTAGCATGAGTCAGAATTTCCCTCCTTTGTAAGGCTGAATAATATTCCATTCCATTGTATGTACAAACCCTATTCTGCTTATCTATCCAACCACCGATGGACACCTGGACTGCTTTCATGTTTTAG